AAGTCGTTCTCCTGGGAGTAGCTCCACACCTTCTAAGTCGTGTCCTGTAAACGCGATTTCCATGACTTCGTCAACAGCGAAGTTGAAGAGGAAAGGTGACAGCGGGCATCCTTGTCTCACGCCGCTGGAGATATTAAAGGGCGACGACAACTTGTCGTAAGCCCTCAGTCTGCCCGAGCTACGCACATATAATGCTCGGATAATATTCACATATTTCTCAGGTACATCTTTCCTGAGTAGACAGTCCCAAAGTGCATGTCTATCTTCTCACTAGTCAAGGAAAACTGTTACCAACAGCTCCTGACGCATACCCCGCATTTTAGTATTGAGTGTCAGTCTAAACTCCTGTACAGTAGCGAAATATCTCGGTTACACTAAGCCGGGATCGCACGTGGTCACACCACGTGAATGAAATATTCACTAAGTCAGGAGACTAGCGTTCCACGTCTCCCGACTTAGGTCATCATCCGTGCCTCGGTACTTGATTCTACGGTTTGCCACCGCTTACGTAACACCGCACTGGACGCATTGCATACCTGTGATATTTCCGGGGCTCTTAAACGAGCAATACATAGCGATCACCAGGTAACTGAAGCATTTTGCTGGATGTAGCGGAATTTCTATGCTAGTGTGTATTAAACATCATTGTGTCCAATCGTGTTCGCTCCTGAAAGAAACTGACTTCCAAGTTACTCAACGATGCCAAGCACCCGTTCCATAGTGCAGTGTCGAAATGTATCTCGCCTTCTTCGACCAGACAAACGTACAAAGCCATGTATACCCGCACACGAGCGTACGGTACGTCAGTCGTTCCCTATTTGTTACGTTTTCTGAGGGATCAAGATGTAGTCAAACAATACCTTATTGCCAGATTGAATCCATGACATCACCACTATCATATCTTTCAATTGGTGGCGCACCATATACACTTGTTATTTATTTGATTTTATTTATGTGTGTGTGCTGTAGATGAATATTCACTCTTCATGGGTGCATAAAGCGCATTGTTGACTTGAATCGACAGGCTGGGCTTCAGACGCCGGACGGTGGAAGCATTAGCAAACCGAACCAGGATTGGATTACATTGTCTGTTGATGGCCTGGTGTGTCAGATGCTGATACGTCTTTGGGGCAGAGTAATTAAAGCCGCAAGAAAGCTGTGTCGCCGACGCCTCTTAACTGCAGTTCAGTTGCTCCGCTATGGAATGTGTAAGGAGGCGTGGCGTATCCAATCGCATTGACTCAATCAGTCAAAGTGATAGTAAATCAGCGAGAATTCGCGGGAAATAGATAAGCCAGAGGAAAAAGTGGAGCCCCTACGCAGCGTCATCGATTGAACACCTCGTGCTTTCGTCACACTTGGTGCAGCGACGGCGTATAATGCTCGCCGAGAAAGGCGGTTAATTGATGTACGGAGTATATGACCTAACCAACATTAGCGATTCAACTTCAACAGACACTGAAGTGTAGCGCCAACTGGCGGACCTCAGCGCTGCTCACCTTATGTTCCGACCAGATCGAATCACGGAAATGGTGAGCTGACAAAAGAACTGTCTCCACTTTGTCTGCAGACTGAAGTGCCCCCTGAGGTAATCTTGGTTCACCCTAAAGAGCTGTTAGCGTGGCGGACACTGCGAACCAATTTGGCCAGTTTAGGTGGGATTCCCATTTCCTGCCATATATGTTCTCACTGTTTCAGATTGTCCGATAACTTGCCATGATTGAACTTGCTTTCGACTCAGGGGAATTAAAACAAATGATCTTTCGCGACTTATGCTGCTTTTTATTGTTCACAATTATAGTGAAGGGTGTGCATTCTTCCTCTAGCGGTGTGATAATCGGATTTCTCTGTGCCGCAGTAGCGTTCGTGCTATGTTTAGCGATCTTTGAGGCGGTTACCGAGGTGACCATTCGCTAAGGTTTGCCTTTGCGCGCAGCGACAATAGACGCGTATGTTGTCAGGCTTTCGTCGGCGGTGGATTAGCGTGGATGCAATGGTTCAGTGTGTGACAGTTTCACTTCTGGGAACAACTGCTTCAGTCAAAGTTGGGGTAACCGCGATAGGCTGAGCCAGGTTGTCGAAGTACCTGCCTGATCAAGTCTCTCGGTCATCTGGGTAGCCGCCCACAAACTTAGACATGACGGAGCAAAATATGGATCAGCGAGTTTGCATAGACTAGGCGCACTGACACGGACCGGCAAGCTGCATGTTACCCAAACGGGGGCCTTTGCTACAACCAAGAAACTCGGTGTGCAATAGCACCACGACCGATAAATAATTTGTCTACAAACGAGGTATCAAAGACCCCCTATAATCTCTTACTTATGGCTCAGGTGTGGATTGGAGAATATTTGCACCAACGGCGCCAATAGGTAAGCTCAAGTCTACGCAACGGATACTCCCAAAGTATCACGACGTTGGGAGTGGCGCAGACTGCTGGAGAAGCAGGCAATGCTCATCAAGAATAAGGTTCGCCCCGACTCACTATTGGAACCATTCGTCCGGAGACCGATTTAGTCTACAAGTCACGTGCAATCGATGATTCATATATGTAAAGAAGCAGGGTTAAACGGACATAGATATCATGAAAGGTGACGTTGAATGTGTCCACGTGCATTCTGCAATATTTCGATACGTCTGCACTAATCACTGTCGGGTGGTTTGTCAGTCTAAATCGAGCTATGTAAACTGACGTGTCTCCACGTCATTCGTCGTTCTGGAACTTCCTGGTATAGGCTGCTGGAAGTTCCCGATCATCGCTACCATAAATGATGAGTTTGCTTGATGGGTCCAAATACAAACTGAGATGTAAGACAGGATAATTTGAAGGCCACTATCAGCAGCCTTAGCCAATAAAATCAGTAGGTAGATGATGTTTGATTCTACTTCACGCCTAACCCGTGCAATCTGTAGATTGAGAGTATATGACCAGTGCAGACGAAAGCCGTGTTGCTTCAACGCAATTATAATTTCTATCATCTGTGAGACCAACGAGGGTTGGATCACAGGATGAGAAGCTTCGAGCTCTGAACGGTGGAGTAATGATACCGCATTAGGGGATTACCAATGTTGTCCTTCGCGCACCAAGCAGCAAAACGGACACCGGTTCAAGCTTATGGTAGCGGATTTGAAGCGAATCGTTCTCCAACTATTATGCTTCGAACGGAGAGTATTGAATCCGCGGAACAACTTGCCGTGGCACGTTGATTAGGTGTGGGAATTCGGAAAATTCCTGGACATAACATATTGAGAATGTTCACCAACACGCAGCTACACAGAGAGATCTCTTGTTCTTTACTTTCCCGTATTAGTCAGTATTTGCTACCAAGCGAATTTGATATTTTACGATTATGTCTCCATTAAACTTGCAGCGGTCACTATTCGATAATGGTTGAATGCTGGTTTTCTCCATTGACGTTGGCTAAGTGATAAACAGAGTTGATGTATTTGAATTGGCTTTCTATCCCGCATTATGCGTGTGGTTATCGTCAAGGCAACGTGACGATCGTTGGCTTATATCTTGGGTGATTTTATGTTTTACGATAACATAAGCCACGCAAATGTTTTGCGTTGAGACATTCCGCCTTACGTGATCTGAAAACAGATGGTAGCTGCCACGTGTTGAGCGGCACGATGTATGGCGCAGGCATAATCTTGTCTCATTTCCACGGCCATCGTTGCCTACGGGATACACGGTCATTATTGTTGTATTCGGTAGGTACAAAGTAAAAGGTACACTATGCCCATTTACTGCGCAACACCAGGTAGTAACTGACTGTGCCTGCGATTGGAAATGTCGGCTTATCGCCGAATTCAATATTATAGAACAGGCTACTGTTATCAGACCATCTGAAACAGAGAGAACATATATGGCAGGAAATGGGAATCCCATCTAAACTGACCAGATTGGTTCGCATTGTCCCCCACGATAACAGCTCTCTATGGGGAACCAAGATTACCTCAGGTGGCACTTCAGTTTGCAGACAAAGTGGAGACAGTTCTTTTGTCAGCTCACCATTTCCGTGATTCGATCTGGTCGGAACATAAGGTGAGCAGCGCTGAGATCCGCCAGTTGGTGCTTCACTTCAGTGTTTGTTGAAGTTGAATCGCTAATGTTGCTCAGGTCATATACTCCGTACATCAATTAACCGCGTTTCTTGGCGAGCATTATACGCCGTCGCTGCACCAAGTGTGACGAAACCACGAGGTTTTTAATCGATGACGTGGTATAGGGGTATGAAGAAATTCACTGAGACTTGGTCAGGCAGGTACGTGCCACCTTCGTGGATGGGGACTTCGTGCTATCCCAAACCAATGGTTAGAGACGCTATCAGACGTGGCGCATTATAGGAGTCAGAGCTGCCACTGCATTCCTTTTCGGTTCATATTTCGATGCGATTAGCTTCATGCACCTCGTTCTTGCTTCTATTCTGCTATCATATTTAAGTCTAACCGCGTGGCAGCTGCATCCACGGCACTTTGGTGCCTGGACTATGATTAAACAACTGAACTGAACTGAAACAACCGGGCAATCTTTACGTATCGTAGGTTAGTTAGGAAAGAGAAATTCCAGACAGAACTTGGCTTACTTAATAGGAAAGCAAAATAGTGAGCGCGAGAATCTACTCCTCTACCAAGTCGTTATTATTCCTAATGTGAAAGGCCTAGTTGAAAGTGGCGCCTGTTTTTCTACATTGGTTCTTTGGAAGCTTGTTTTCAATCTACCGTCGTGCCCACCATAATTGTGTTTTAACATTACCTTTGATACAAATACGGGCACATCGAAAACTTATTGCTCAGGTGTGCGGCAGTTGTGCATCACCTGTACGTTCGTCCGACAACGCGATGGCTAAATTGCACTACAATAGACCCTGTACATAACGGTTAGTTCAGTGCTACGGTTAAACATCGGTCAGTACAGAGCCCAGACGCATCCAGTTTTCCACGAAACTTTTGACCTCAAACACAGACCGGGATGCATCGAACGTTCGCATGTGGACAGTCTGCGTCTCGTCGCGCAGAAACGTGTAACGCCGTGGAATGCGTGGTAGATAGAGCCGTGATTGTATACGTCGGTGCATCACGTGAGATCCGATTGGATATCCGGACTGCCGTTAGAATTCCTCGGTGTTTTCTCTGGGAGCGCAATGTGCGGAAATTAATGGTGCGTCAATGAAAATCGGTGGACATTTCCCGGACGGTCTGTAGTACGGAAAACAGAAAAGAATAGACAGAGTGATTTCGTAACAATCTGTAGGTAACCCAGTCCGGAGCGGATAAGTCACAACGCGAAAATGCATGTCAAGTGGAAATGCTTTATTCATTTGAAAAAATGCCGTCGAAATCAGTTGCGCAGTAACTGACCAGCTTCAGGTGAGTCCTCGTCCCTACATCCCAGAAGACAATAAATAGATAAACAGTGGAAGTTACCGCAAGTCGCCAAGGCCAAGATGTTTGCGAGCAGAATTTACTTTGTCTAGTGCACCATCGAAACATTGAAGCGACTGAGAAATAGAATCAAGTCCTTCCTTCTGACAGAGAAACAAGACAAATGGAGAATAAAGAATTGAAAGTATCGTTACCGTGCGTGCTAAATCATCTCGCAACCCACGACGGATTTGAAAGAGTTCATGCAACGGTGACATGTCAAATAGATGTGAATCTACATTTTGTATGACACGAACTAGTTCTCTGCGGGAGTTTACCGAGCAACAGAAAATTACTCTTGTTGAGAATGGGGAATACGTAGGACATTTTCCTCCTGCAATAACTCCAGCCGGCGCTCCGTTAGTTCTGGACAGTGATCAGCGAAATATTGCAACTCGGATCTTATTTCTTCTAAGGATCGAAACAAGCTTTCATCAACCCTAGTTTCTGGCCAAAGACTATCAGAACACATCTGAAATCAGGACCTTAACCGATATGGTTTATGACTATACTTGTACACAATCGTCCTGCAGCTGGAATAAACGATCCAGGGCAGATGTGCATGTGTTCTAAAAAATAATGATTAGGGTTGTTGACAAAAAAGTATGTTATTAATTGTGCGTTAGAAGAAATTATAAGCTGAGCAGGTAGCTCAACGATGGAGTTCCACTTATCAATAAGATAAATGTCTTGCGGCACACTCGAGATTATTATCAAAAGAAATGTATTAACTACCCTCAGTCAGTTCCGCGGCCAACTGTAGTGAAAAGACAAAAGGTTTGTCGTCACAACAGCCTTAAAATTATCCCGCAGGGGAAGCTCCGGAAACAGTATGGAGAAAAAGTCATGTGGAAGAAAGACCTATGTTAATAGTGAGAAACATTTTGGGACCAAGATGCTTCGTGTGACAAGCACCATGGCCAGCAAGTCATTAATGGGGATAGCAGGGGCCACGCACCCCATGCGACCACAGTAATCTACTTCTCGTTCGCACAAAGCAGCGCCACTATGGAAGTAAAGGTTTCCACGAAATAACACCAGTAAACAGCCAAGGAAAATCCGTACTCACAAAGACGGAGAGCGTCAGATCGAATACAGTGATATATGGTTAAAACAATCGAATTGGAGAAATCGGTAAAAGTCGTATTGAAATAAAAGTCTTCACAAAAGTGGTAAGATATCTGTAGATACTATGTTAACTCAGCTTAATCCTTGCCGGATACAAATTTTCACGTTCACACAAGATCACAAACCGTTCGATTACGTCGCGCCATTATTCTTACGTTCTGAGTTTGTCGGAAAACGAAAAGCATTTGTCTGATGGGACCGATTCGACCGAAAGCCCACCAGTTCAATTTATAGAGTACCATCAACACCATATGCACCAGCAGTCTGATCATGTGGGGACACAAGTGGGACCCGTGAAAAGAAAGTACTAAGTCAGGTAATATGTTAACCGACAGCAGTGCATATACCGGTGGTGCTGTTCTTTACACATCCGCCGACACTGGCAGAGCATAGCTCCTTTTAGAAAAGGAAGCCGACTGAGAGGCGGTTGCAGTTTAGAAAAGAATAAGGAAATTGATTGGAAGGCAGGGTTGTAGCTGTTTGTTGGAAATTTTGATAGTGTGACGATTCATTAAACAGCACACTAACCAATGCTTCAGAATCAATGGTATCCAAGGTGGAAATCAAGCAATCATCGTCCTCTGTCATGAGTTGTGAGCTAAAAAGATAAAAGGCAAACAAAATAAGTCCAAAACCAGAAAATGTAAGGGAATCTTGCAAAAATATAAAGAAAAATATTTTTTAAACTCTGTGCTTATCTCTACTGGTGACCATACCCTTAGTCATTGAAACGGGTGCATATGATATTGCAATTGTTGGGAACTTACAGAGAACGAAAGACACGTCACGACCGACGGTTTCATCCTCTTTTGCACTCATCAGGTGGAGGTAGCTTGAGCTGGAGTGGAACTCAGAGTTTAGTGATAAACGGCTGACAGCTTGATCACCATGCTTCTAAGATCCGTGAGCAACGCAAAACATCACTCAAGCAAAGGCTTCAGAGAAAGACACCGCCACGAAAAGGCGCGACGAACAAAAGCAGAAGTAGCTTTCATCCAAGAAAAATTACCCTAATAGATCTTCCACATGTATGGTGAGATTCCAGCATCCTTTCATCCGTGCACCTTGTACCGGGTGACAGTCAGTTCAAATGTCAACGATTCGGCTCTTACAAAGATCAGTAAGCCACTGCAGTTTTAGATAGGACTGATAACAATGACCTACACAGGGCGTCCTCTGGATTTACTAAAGAGGGGAAGAGGTTAACAATCTTCAACCAGATCAACACTTCAAAATCAAACGTGATCTACCGGTATGTCGACTTATTGTAAGTACTACGCTCTAACTCAAATAGTATTTAGTGGAGCAGACGATTACTAGTAAGAACCGACCGTCTTTCGGCGACGACGGTGAAAGCTCATACGAACTAGGTGCACGGCACTGTTTTAGCAACACAAGCTCGCGCCAAAACTTCTCGACGATTGAAACTGTTACTTTAAGGGTTCACGTGAGTTCAAGTGATATAGCAACAGATTCTTCTGTCTCGGATCAGTCGAACTGTTTCCAAAACGCTCTGTCAAGCGCTCTAGCAGACGTGACCTAGAATGGATTAACCTTACATTGTTCTTTGTCATTGTTGAATTCACGTGTTTCTTAGATCTGAGTGTCGGGTAGGAGAAAATAGTAGTGTTCGTACCACCATCTACCAAAGTTTCTGTGGTCACTTTGCGAGTCTTAATCAGATACCATTTCAGAGTGCTACGGATACCTTCCAACTATCACACCGACTGCACGATCTTAGCTTATTCGGTCAGGCTAATAGGAGCATCAGAAACCCATCCATTGTCCGAAATTGGCCGCACAAGTGACCTCGAAAGACAGTTCCATAGCGGTCTACAGTTAACATCACTCCGCATTTGATGTATTCACATTATCTATCAGTAACGGTTGACGCTGTAATTAAGAATGATGTTGCAGTCTCGTAAACTATCAATGCGGTTGACGAGCAAATGGAACAGTTGGGTAATTCGTTGATTCAAACAAATCAACAGTATTAATAACATGCACCATCGACATCTGATAGCAATGGGGTCGATTTGAGTCCAGAGCAATCTGTCGTTTGGTAGCCACCGTGAGATCCAAGACAAGTAAATGTTCTAGAAAGTTTTTCTTCGATACAGAGGCCATGATCAACAGACCACTGAAAAATGCGTTGGTACGACATGCAATACACTGGTTTCGGTAAGTGACCGTCCTGGGTATTCGCATTTGCACCCATTCGATTTAATGGAGAAACGATGATAGAATTCGTCTTAGATGGCTCACAGACTACAGCCTGTAGGACAATTAAAATGCAGTCAATGACGTTATCGCATTCGGATTTTTGCACCTTGCTGTTATTTCACATCCTATCCCTGTTAAGTTGAGGTATCTCCCACCTAATTTTATTATTTCCACATTCGCTTTGCATTCAACCACAAGTTCTTGCCGGTCCTAATTATTGATTTGCTAACGACGTGAGTCGTGGCAACTGGATCCACCGCAATTCGGTGCCCGGAGCATGATTTATAGACAGAATTGAGCTGAGCTGATCATAAAATCCAGCAACAAAAAAGCACTTTAAACTCGGCCGCGTTTTATCAACGGCTGTGGAGCTTCGAAGTCGAATATATCGGTCAACAAGGTGGTGGAATCAATGGAGGTTTGCTTAAAGGATGGCAATCGGCGCAGCTGACTTAACAGCCTGAACCACAGGGGAGCACGTTTAGCTCGGGGTGACTACAAAAGCATACAGTGGCCAACCTGAGGTCAGTCATATTCACACTCAGAAGCACGCAAACATTTCTGCTGGTTTTTGAAGGAAGTTCGCTACTGAACGCTCCCCAACTTCCGATGAATATGATCCTAGACTGAAGGTGTTTACTCCAGTGCTCACTGTTAAAAGCACGGTGTTTGAACAAGTGGATAATTTTCTCTATCTAGGAAGCTGCGTTTCCACTGATGACACAAGTGACAGGGAAATTTCCATTCGTATTGCCAAGGCCTGACCAGAGTCTGTCAGTCTAAAGCACTTGTGGCGTTGTCTGAACGCCTCACTCTCAATGAAGGGAAGGGTCTACATTGCCTGTGTTAGCGCGGTGACGTTGCACGTGCGTCGCCCATAGGCCTTTGGTAACGGATGTTTAAGGGAGATAGCCTGTGTGATGGTAACAACACCACGTTTAGGACAACGTTAAACGTCACGCCCTAAGTGATGCGGCCCTTTCTCCAAACACGCTCGTATCGTTGCGTCAATCAAAATGGCTTCGGTACGTTGTACAATTGCCGTGCGAGCGATTATCACGTCGCGCCTTATACACTCACGCAGAACCGCAGTTGAAGAAATCGCATTGTGGTTACTTTACCAAGAGATCGAAGCGCTATCGTCGGTGCTATGCGTCTTCGGGGATAGAGAGCCAAGAACAGTCCTGGTCCGAACAACTTGAAGATATGGCGCAGAATCGCAACCAATGAAAGGCTTTTAACTTCCCAACATTGTAGACGTGTAGGAAAAATCCGAGAAAAGCATTTACCGCATTTTCTATCCATTTCCATAGTTGTGACTTCTAAGTATTACGTACGGAAAGTTCATGGCTGGTGATAGCTCTTTATCGATCTCCATAAACTTTTGCTATCGTATATGTTCTGACCCCTAACCGTTGACCCATCGAGCATGAATGGATGTGAAACCGCTTGAAAAGTGCATTACGAAATCAAGCGAACGTTAAACGCCAGCTTTGAAGCGACAGATCTTGATTAGAGACAAACAGATAGCTGAGTAGGAATGGTAAAGGTTGTTGAAAATCCTTCCAAACAAAGGAATGAGTGGATACGTTTCCCACAGTAGGTGGCGCCGTTTACAGCCGGCATCAATGACGTTACCAGGGACAGAGGTGCAGAAAGAAGGAAAAGAGCAACTCGAAACTCAGCTGGTCATCGGGATAACTTTTATACACGAATTAGGTATGTGGTGATATTCGCCTGATGGAAGCAAAAGCGGGCAAAAGAAACAAAACCCACGGAAGTACAGTCCACGGATGAGCTCGTATGGAGAAAAAGATTTCGCACGTATATCCACACATTCAGCTAAGCTGAAGCGCACATGAAACTCGAACAGAGATACCATAAGCAACCATGCACGAATAACGGTCGTAGTCTGAAAAAGATCAAAGATAGGTCATAAATTGGAACGGGACAATAACCTCAGACACCGTGGAAAGCAGATTGAGCTAACGACCAAGAAGGAATAAATGCATCTGCCACGTCCCACCAGAAATTCACGGAAAAACTAAGAGAAAGTGAGCGGACGTAGTGCCAACAACGAGGAGGAATGAAGAGCATTTCACCCGGACTCAGAATACCATGAAACCCTTGAGCGTTGGTCAGTAGGGGAAAGGCTTCTAGGTCTGGATGTTCAACATCAACCTGAGAAGTGTTGCACAACATCGTTTCGGAGTGCGCGTAGAGGTAAGGAGTTTCGGAAGCGGTAAACAAAATCACGTATTTTTGTCCGGAAACTTGCGCAAGCAGATTAGCTCGTTCACTGTCGTGATGCAACGGAGAAACAGTGTTGGCTGGACCGAACCACACATTGCTGTCCACGCAGGATTCTTCACAAAGCGGTTTTCCGTTAATCATGCAATAATCCGGCGTGTGAACGTCATCCGCCAGTTCGGGAATTTGCAGAAAAAGCTGATGCTGGGCAAGGTATCCAATGGGTCGGTTGCTCTCTGAGTTCAAGGATGAAGAGAGTATGAAACGCTCGATAAATCGGTTTATAGTCATCAACTCTTGGCCCCATGATTCATCAGTATATCTTGATCCAATTTCGATTGGAACCAAGCGGTAACCCACCTTACGTTGCCAGTACTCAAGAGTCCAAGCGTGCTCGCCACCGGATCGACAAGCTGGCCAGTGGGTCATCCCACCAGTGAGGATGAATGGGCGACCTGCGAGTAAAAGTTCTTGAAACCGCTCGAGACTTGGGAGAGAAATTCGTTCCAGTGGTAACAGGCGTATGGAGCCTGGGGAAGGTAACTTCTCAATGGGAGGAACAACCAATGCACAATCAGAGATCCGAAGTTTTTTCGACAAAGGTTCATCGAACTCCGCTTCAATCAAGCGTTCGTGGGTCAAGTTAGCGAGTTTGGTGGCCACACCGTCGAGGATTGGATAGCCCATAAGCAAGCTGTAGTCTAGTTCCTCAATAATAGAAGTCAGAAGTTCAGTCAAATGAGAAAAAGAAGAAACGGTGCCAGCCTGGCGTAGTCCGTACAACGCGCGAATTAGTCGAATGCTTGCGTACAACACACGCCAACATAAGGCCACTTCTTTCCAATGTCCGGTATGCAAGTTTTCCCATGCATACTCAAGCAGAAAGCGGCTGAGGTTCCGGAACTCTTCTAATGATACACACGAGGATTCATAGTGATCTAAGAGCTTGTTGTAATCATCAAGCACAAGATGACTCAGGCTATCTCGGTGATCAAGAAGAAGTGAAGAAAGTTGATCTTTGGATGGAGTCAACTGGTGGATGACCTCGAGAACCTGTGAAAGGGAGAAGTATTTTAGTAATCACAACAAGTAGTTATGACGGTGTCTAAAAACTGGCAGAAACTGAAGAAGCAGAAAAGAGAACGACATGTCAGCACCACAAGTCACAATCCATAGGTGCATGAAAACAGCAACGTGGGTGTGTGGAACATCATACTAAAAAAAGCAGTGGATTTTCAGCGTGAAGCTATGTTTATCGGTTTCTGAATGAAGCACTATACTCAAGTAGAGCCAACTTTCAGTGTCAAAAATCAAATGAAGTGCGTGTAGTCTAGGATCGCATTTACGGAGCACTCAATTGTATTATTATTAAGTGTCAACACAAGCTGTAAGGTATCAGCAGTACGCCGGTATGTAGTACCGACGCTTTGCTGTCGTGCAACGACCAACAGTCGTGCGTGGACTACGGATACTGAGTGGGTTACCCGGTTCCCTAAGCAGGCTCGAAAGCGCGCCACCCCCACCCCCCCGGATCACAAGCCAGGCTTGTGATTATTCAGGCTAAGGGTCGGGCAATAAAAGCTGTGCGAACAGACATCCTGGAACCATCGCAAAGCATGACACAGGTCAGGGTTAGCTAACCTGCGATCCCACTCTTCGGATTCTCTTTAAGGCTTCGTGGAAAAGATGGTTGCTAAAAATGGATGCAATACATAAGAAAGGGTTATCGTTTAAACAACTGCATCTAAAAGTGACGGGTTGGAACAGGCCAAAGTATAGCCACATGGCAACTGAAATGCAGAAATGTGGTGAACCTGCCAAGGAAGGAGGACAACTCAAATTGCAATAAAATGTTGCAAATAGAGATCTGCATTCACGTTGTCTAGTTGATTTTAATACTCAGCAACACATAAGAACTAACGTCGGATGGATAAAGTCAAAATATTTCAAAGTGAAAAGGGAGTAGATTTAAAAGTAAAACAAAAACCGATGGCATAAACAAAAATCCGTTAGAATTTGAAAGAGGGCTAAATGAAGAAAACGAGTAAGGAAGGGGCCAAACGATCGACGGGGTATGCCGCGTTGTGAGTATCCGCTAGCCAAAGCTAAAGATAGACGAATCTGTTTATGGGCACCAAGAAAATGGCTAGGTGGGGGCTTAGTGTATTACGCGGAGGTTACGAAAATATTGCGTGCTAAATTCGCAGTATCAAAGATAAGGCGATACTGGTGAGACAGGTTCCCCATAGATTTCATTTAAACGATTCATTAAACAGATAACTCTGTCCCACACACTGGCAAAATAGAAAGCTTCGTCAGTAGACGAGTCAACACGGCGTCGACGTTGGTAATGTCCAGAACCCAGCACAGGATTGCTGGTGAGGCCCTTAATAGTCAACAGCTTGGCTCTTCTGTGCTTAACCAATGGTTGCAGTCCTTGAGTTCATCCTATTCTAAAGTCAACAAACACAATTATGTCATCCTAGAAAGGAGTAATGAGGGTATAAATAGCATACAGCTAGGCCAACGCTGCATACTAGACATTGAAGACTAAGAGAAATCTCTTACTACCCGATTAACGCGGTAGATACACAGGATTAGTAGGGGATTTGGAATGGTAAGGGTCGTCAGACAGCCATCACCTGTCGAGAAAAGCAATGTGCAGCCGTTTCATGCTTTCGGAACTGCTCAGCAGTGCGCAGTTCACTTAACCCCTGTGGGGTTCGAACCCCAATTCGACTGTTTCTACTCTGTGGTTAAGACCACTGAGCATTGGCTAAGTAACTAGATAGCGTCGTACTCTCAATGAAATCTGTTACGCCAGGCTATCCGGTGCCATAAAAGTACAACGTCGACCCACACGTCTCACCGTGAACTTCACTTTCACCCATTGCTCTAATGTGCTTCATATGCATCAGGCCACCGACTATGCGAGGCAGCCTGTCTGACACCATGTGTTGTCGGCTGACTTGCCTATTTAAGATGACTTGACATCTGGCCAATATACGGTCTGGTGAAGCCTTTATTCTGAGGGATTTACACCCCCGCAACCACAAGTATAACCCTGATGCAGTAGCGTAGCATTGGGGGGGGGCGAGGGGGCGGCCACCCCGGGCGGCATGTGACATGGGGCTGCATTTTTAGTACCGTCGATTTTCCGATACCAAATATAAAGGGCAAATATCCGGATAAGCTGAGAGGCGAATATTTTAACGTTACCCTGTATGACCAACAAGACATTTGCGCCATGTGTCATACCTGTGCGAACCTTCTTCCCGGCGATCCCGTTACTTGTCCCATTGTGGTCACTTTGAACATATTTAACTCGGTGTCCCAAACGATCATCTATTTCATCTAAAACTGACGTGCACTTCAATCTGAGTCGATTGTATGGTTTTCACGTGTCTACTCTGCCTTCAGTCAGGGTGAACATTTTGCAACCGCCCCGGGCGACAAAACTAGCTGTCACGCCACTGACGGAGACGGCTGGTCATTTACAGTTAACTCAACTACTACAACGGCAGCAAGAGTATATCCATCGGGAACAGCGGACTATGCTTCAACAAGAACACACGTTGTTATTCCAAACACGGAAATTGTCATCCATAAATCTAACACCCACCACAGTGAAAACCGAGTCCACTTCAGCTGGAGCGTCGGAAAATGGAATGCAAAATATCCAATGTGTGTACTACTGCAACCCAATAGATGTGCTGAATTTCCATGTATACCATTCAACTCCCCACACTACTCCTTTGTAAACAGTACGTGGATCAAACTGTTTATAATGTCAGAAGTTAATGAGCAAATTCGTCCATCGGTGAGTGAACAACCCTGTCCTCTGCACGGTAGTAACGTGTAAGTCAGTGAATAATGGGCGGTGCTATATCACATCTAATAACTTATTCCTCATGGTCGTTGCTGTTCTCCGTAGCTCAGTGGTCCCAACCACAGACGGACAACAGTCGAGTTGCGGGTTCGAGCCCCACAGAGGATGTTGACGATTCCCGAAAGGACAAAACGGCCGCATGGTGCTTATCCAGGCGTGTGGCGGCTGCCTAACTGAGTAAAGATGTGATAAATCTCTAGCTAAACGCAATAATAGCAATCACAATAGGTGAACTAATAGAAATAAATATAAAGCATATTCCTCAGAATAGGGAACACATTATGAGGTCCGAACATAATGCATAAACTAGCTTTAAAAGTGTTGCTACGGCGGGATATTCCTAAATTCTACCACAGTCTCTCGACAGATACACCAGGACCACAGCTAGCATGAAAGATGGAAAACTTTGGTTTGCCTTTGCTATAATAAGCTTCCGAAATTAAGGAAGAATAGATGAGCCACCATGCTTGGTTGAAAACGAGATCTGAAAGTGGGAGGATGTAATCCACTGGCAGATGTACGCCACGTGCATTTGTAAGAAGCAACAATAACAAATATCGACGGCCACGGGCGCGTCATTGTTACTGCACCTGAGAAGAGAGCTGATTTGATGAACAATCGCCAGTTACCTATAGGGGTGGATCAGTTGCGCGGAATAGAGCTAGTAGATTTATAATGGCACAGTATTTTAAAGGTGCAATGTTCAAAGCAAAGACGCGGTTACTTCTGTGCTGGAGCAAGTGTGGCTGTCAAGAAACTCAATGTCCATGTTGGCTAGTGGATTTACCACATGATGATCTACCTGCCTCAAGTAAAGTCTGGTGTATTTGCGACCAGTGACCTTCAACTTTATTCAGTGAGCGCATGCTCAACGCCAGCGTACTTCGATTCGCATGCAGAACAGCTGAATTCGCCAGTTAGCTAGTGTCTATGCGCTCATCATCATCAATACACGTTAGCTGAGGGTGATAAACACATCACAGCTAATGTGCCGCAGTACAAAAAATTTTAAAAGCGAGTAATATAATGATAAATAGTATATAATCTATTAGACATGACTTCGTGATCGGAGGGGGAATCCAAACGGGAGGAGGATGGACGAAGGAACTCACAACACAAGTGCCATTGGAGCCGGCTCTTCGCTATATCAACAAGTTTGTCCAACTAAACTTGTTCATCGTTCTTCGGACCGCAGCCCGGCATTCGGGATGGACCAACCAACGCCAACTTCGAAATGAGGGCTTTCATTTCTCTTGACAAAGTCATTGTTTGGCCTCACCTCATTTTCTTCTAACCACACCCCCAGCTCGCAGAGAACACGACGCGGGAGTCGGTGGGTTGGCATGCGTAACACGTGGCCAATATCTCGGAGTGTGGTGCGTAATATAATAGTGCTGAGTGGTTCAATCGCTCTTCTTATTCCAAACAGACGACGCGGAGCTCCCACTAGACATGAGTTAGGCTGCGAAGGCAGCGTTGGTCGAAGGAAGTTAACCTTTGTCGACCTGATAGGCCAGGTGACACAAAAGCAAAGGAGGGTTGAACGGACAGCTGCATTACAAACTCTGATCTTCAGGGAGAGATTGATGTGGCGTCGGCATCACAGGTGGCGGAGATTGGCAAAAACACCTCAAGTTTTGCTGGAAAGTTCGTAAACTCATCTTCAATCAGACGGATGTTAATATAGCTGCCCAGATACTTGAATTCCTGAACGATTTCTACCTGACCACCACCAAGTGTTAGCGCAGGGGTGGGGCCCTGCCAATCTTGGAGGATTTTGCATTTCAAGGGTGCAAAACATAGCCCAAGACAATTGACCGCCAGTGTTAATCTGTCCAGTGCTGCTTGGCATGTTTGGAAGCTGTCACAGATTAGAACAATGTCGTCCGTATACTCCAAGTCAAGAAGTCGCTCACCAGAATATAGCTCCACACCTTGTAGGTCGTGTCCAGCGAATGCTGTTCCCATGACTTCGTCAATGGAGGAGCTAAAGAGCAAGGGTGACAGTGGGCAATCTTGTCTCACACCGCTGGAGATATTGAAGAGCGACGACAGTTTGCTATAAACTCCTCTGCCCGAACTATGCGCGTACAGCGGTCTGATAATGTCTATGTATCTATCGGGGACAGCTTTCCCAAACAAACAGTCCTAAAGGGCATATCGA